TATTGTTACAGATTCCAATTGGAAAGTGGCTTCATTTTAGGGTGACAATCTGGGACAGTCCTGGTTTACCCCTGGCGTCCTGTGTATAGATGAAAAGCATCCTCTTCACTCTTGAAAGTGCTCAGGTTTGTGTGATAAATTATATGGTCGCCCTAGATGTAAGAACTAACTTTCTTTTCTAAGACTTGAAACAAACAGGAAAAATTTGTGGCCCGCAGTCTCCACTTTTACAAATCATAACTACCGATACAGCTTTGCTTGCTAAAATATGTATTAAAAGTATACTTCCACTTTGCTTTTTAAAATACGTATTTACTAGTTTTTCCTTCTAACATTAAAAAAAACTACTTCCAGGTTTTCTTTTTATCTGCAGTTGCTATTGCCTGTTGGTTTTTGTTTTATTTTCATTTTTTAATTGCAGGATAATTGAGGCAGCACAAAGGCAAGGTTGTTTGAAATAGAGGTTGGTAACTTTGCTCATGGAAATTTACACATTCAGAATTTTCCACAATCTATGAAACCCACTGAAATGATGACAAATTCATTTAAAGACTATATATCTTAAAAAGATAAAAATTCCACTTTATGTTGTTATTCTCATTTTAATTATAACATCATTATGTTTTTCTCTTATCCTTCCTCATCTTTGAATTTTTACCTTGTTCATACTTCTTTGTCTCCCTTTCTCCCCAGCAGCCTGATTCCAGTCTCTTGCTTTGTGAAGTATCTGGGGACTGCTGGGCTGGTGGGGTCAGTGAAGTAGGAGCAGAGATTCTATAAAGGCCAGTGTCAAACCCTGCCCTAAAAACTAAGGAAAACTCTGCTGCTGGCTTCTTTTGATCAGCATTAGCATTTTATCAAGCATGTCTCCATATTTTAGTGTAAGACAGCTGTCCCCATAATGTTCATTTATTTATATCAATCACCAAGTGCTATTTTAGTGGCTAAATTTCACCGGGGGTAAGAAACCAGGATCTCTGGCTGATTTCAGTAGGCGGTGACAGTATCCAGGCCTCCGGAGGTTGCCCCCTGTTGGAAATCTCACGGAGCTGAAAATATAGAGGTGGAAGGGCCCCAAAGCCACCAGCAGTAATCCATCAACTAATCGCAATTCCAAAGGGTAAGATCAGTGTTCCCACAGTGTATCATCAAAGTGTGAGGAGTTTATCACTTTAAAACCTCACAACCTACTGATATGTCTGCTTTTCCCTGTCTCCTGAGTTCACCCCTTTATCTTTCACCACCTGTGATCTTCTCTTTCAGCCTTTTCCTCCCTGCCAGTGTGCCGTCCTTTGTCCTTTATCACTTCTTTCTTGGATAAACCTATAGATACAGAATGGAAACAATATTTGGATGATTTTTCTTGTGGAAATCACTAAACGTTTTCATTTCATTATTCTGAGAGCAGAAACTTGCATAAAAATGCGTACAGAACATGAGACAAAAAGTGTTATGGACCAAACATTGTTTTTGAATTGTGGTATCAAAGATAAAATTACAAGTAAGAACTTAAAAGGCTTTTGGTATATTTTCACATTAAAGGGTTACTTTGCCTTTCTCAAGTGTAACTATTGAGAGTAAAATGTAACCAATTACAGTAGCTCTGTATATTTCTTTTCCCCACCTCCTGGTTTTTGAGGCTTGAAACCATTGTGGAAAGCTTTCAAAATTGTTACAAATGAAGTTTTTCTTTCACCAGACTTAGGAAGGACCTATTACATTATAAACTCTTCTCTGTGATCCTTAGGGGTAAAACTCCGGGACAGGGATGAGTAGTTGTTTTGATATCAAGCATTTGTTTAGGCTCTTGTAGGACCTGCACATTAGTTAAGTGAATATACCCATTAATGAGCAGAGAAGGGCTAGCGGTGGAAACAGCTCTCCCACTGATCTGGAAAACAAAGAATTCCATTTTAGGGTGTTAAACTGGAATTTGGACTTAACTGGATTTTGATAATCATTTAGAGTTCTGTTCACCAAAAGTGTATCTTCTTGCCCTTTTTCCTACAATTAGTAGGGGCAAAATACCATAATGTTTAAAATAACAATGAGCATGAACTTACAGAAACTGCTAGGAGGCATAACCGTGAAGCAAATTCTAATTAGCATCTTCCCTGGCTTTTTCATTCTATTCATGTTGGAGAAAGAGCTGACAGAAATGAAGAAGTGAGAGGATACAAGAATGGTCACTAACATTTAATGGGCATATATTTAAGTGCCAGGTTGTGTTAGAAACTGTCTTGGTACCTTGTGTCATTTAATCCTCACGGTAATCTTAACTTGTTGGTACTATGTGTTATGCCCATTTCATAGATGAAGAAACTAACACAAGTGTCTGAGTAACTTAGCCAGGATCACAAAGCCAGAAAGCGATGGATATTTGAACCCAAGAAAACTTGAGTCTGGAACCTGCCCCTTTTACACTATGCTCACCTGCCTCCTTGAGCTAATCAGGATGGCCTGTGTGGGTGAAATCCCCTTTTACCGCATGGCTTTGGTAAACCAGGGGGACAGCTCTTGAAGTCTTACCTGTTGCATCTTCAAAGGATTGCTCACCTGAGAGGTAGAAAGGGGCGCCTCCTCTCCTGCTACACTCAAGTCACTCTCCTCGGCCACACTAGAAGAGTTTACCATCCCCTCCCCTGTCCTCGCTTCCTGGGCTTTAGGGAAATTAAAAGTAGCCTCTTATGAACAGGCCAGGAGTCTGAGGGGTTATAAAGTAAGCAGTACGTGTTCATCAAACTAAATACCATGGGCAAAAGTGTGTGTGTTTATGTTGGGAAGGGGGTTGTCAGAAGGATTTATGGCTTAGATTGCTTTCCTAGCAGTGATGGAGATGGACTTTTGCTGCTCTATCCGCACACTAATCTGAATCCACTTAACCTCAGGTACGTTTGTGTTTATATCTAGAAGGTAGTCTCCCTAATTTGAGGGGAGGCTGAGCCTATGTCCTTGGCGGAGCACGGTGCCTAAGGTTACCAGCCACCTTCCAAAGCCAGATCTTCACTCAGTAGCTCCTGCTTTATGTCCTATAATTGCCCCACGTGTAGGAACAGTCACTTTTCCCCTTTGTGTATAGCTAGATTACTGCAGTTCTCAAACTCAACTCAAAAGGGATGACAACTTGGTGAAACTACTAGCCCCATAGCAGCACCTCCTGAGTATATTTTGCTTTGGCTATTGGAGTTGTAGCTGGTTGTCTGACTGCTTTCAAGTTGCTTCAATTTGAAATTAACCTCCAGGAAAGGAACGTGCTAATGCTGATTTACACATAATTTTCAGAATTATTCAGAAGTAGGTTGGAACAGTCCCTTTATTCCAGAGTTTTCTGATGTGTTTTCATCAGAAAAAATCCCATGTTCAAGGGAGTTCAGGATATGCTGGGTTAAAAGGGTTAAACAGTTTTATTTTCTGTAAGATTCTCAGAGCCTTTAACATGACGGAAACTGTGAATCTGTAAGTAGGCAATAGAGTACCCAGTATCTCTCAAACTTAACTTCACCACACGATCCCTGTTTGTCAGACACATTCTGGTACCAGTGCTTCTTAGAAATACGTAGTGGATAAGAACATAGACAGTACATTCTGATGGCAAAATCCATCTTACTATGGTCTTGAACAAGGTACTTAACCTCTCTGTACCGCAGTCTCATCTGCAAAATAGAGATGATAATAATAATACCTACTTTAGAATGTTGTGAAGATTAAATGACTATATATATATATATATATACACATCTGTCGATCTGCCTCACGTTACTAAGTGTAATATCTGTTAGCTACTGTTATCGTAACTATTTACCCCTCTATTTACTAATGGTATAGGCCCCATACACATGGAAAGTGTAAATTCCAAAAGTTAGAGAAAGCTCCTTGTGACCTTTCTATAATAAAAGGAACATCTGAACTAGGGAGTGATATAGTGGCTTTGAGTCTGGGGGAAAACTCAACAGAGTTTCCAGTTTAAATCATCTATCTAGTCGGTATGGCTACCGTCATGATGAAATGAAAATGTTGACTTTGAGTAACTAAAGGTAAAAGAAAAGAAAAAGGGAAAAGTGAACAGGGGCAAGAATTATTTTTGTATTTATCTAATTTGGACTAGGTTGAAATAGAAAATGTCAAGTTATGAGTAGTGTATAACAGTGACATCAAACACTTAAAATCCCAGCTTCCTGGATATATGCTGTGGAAAGAATGAAGTTGATTGCTAAAGTCTAGCTGGGCAAGAAGGTGAAGAGAAAGCCATGTCAAGATGTGGCTTAGGCAGCAAATTAAGAAGATAGCCATTCATTCAAACAGTAAAATAAATATAATTCATTCTCCAGGTGCAAAAGAGAGAGCTCTGTTTTCAGCCGTTCACAGTCAAATGCAGAACTAGGCTGTAAACAACAAACCATAATAAAATAAGCTTTAGGATAGAGGTACCAGCACGGTGCTATGGAATCTCAGAAAATGATGCCACTAAAAAGCTAGGAGGTGGAGCTTGGATGACCTATCTCAGGGCTGGCCTGGCCCAGAGTCAACTGTTTGATGCTCATTTGCATGAGCGAGCGAGCGAGCGAGAGAGAGAGAGAGAGAGAGAGAGAGAGAGAGAGACAGAGAGAGAGAGAGAGAGAGAGAGAGTGTGTGTGTGTGTGTACAATACAGGAGGGAAGACTTCCATTCTAGAGCAAGTGATCCCAACTGGGAGGCTGTGCGCGAGCGAGCCACACGAAGTAAAAATGGGAGGCTTGATCGCATGTCCTTCACCAGACGGGTCCAAAATGACTATATAAAGTAAATACCATAAATCACTGTTGTCAGGGCGCACACCACCTCCTCCCTCCCTTCCCCACAGCCGTCCTCATTTCCACACCCCCTCAACGGTTCAGGGAGAGCTCGTGGTCTAAGTAAACGAGAGGACTTCTGACTGTAATCCTAGCACGTCACTTCGTTGAAGGCAAACACGTGGTTCAGAGAGAACTTATAAATCTCTCCTCCCAGGCAGGATCGTGATGTTATCTGCTGGCAGCAGAAGGTTCGCTCCGAGGGGAGCTCCAGAAGCTCCCGACCAGAGAGAGAGAGAGAGAGAGAGAGAGGCAGGCAGAGGCAGCGGGAGAGATACAGAGAGACCGAGAGAGGCAGAGAGACACACACACAGGGAAGAGCGAGAGCGCAAGTGAAGGAGGCCTGGCGAGAGGGATGGAGAGCCTAGGATAACGGTCTAGGGAGCCATTCGGGGGCAAACCGAGGGGCTGCCTGGCTGCAGAAAAGAGGAAGGAGAGGATCTACTGCAGGCTGCCAAGTGCCTACTACCCTCGGCGAGAAAGCCCAAGTGGGAGAGAAACCAGGAGTGGGTGGGCAAGGGTGGGTGTCCAAGGGAACCCCTTCGCAACCCCCTAGGAATAAAACTCCCCTGTCGGCGCGTCCCGGGGCTGCCGCTGCGGTCCGCGGGGGGCGAAAGCCACGGCGGCGGCCGCCGCTCGTCTGTTGCCGGGTTGGCGTTTCGAGCGAGAGGAGAAGGAGCAGAAGGAGGGAGCTGGAGGCCGGACGCGTTCGCCAGCGGCGGCGGCGGCGGCAACGTGGAGTGACCGGGCGGGTCGGCGCGCCGGCCGGGGTGTCGGCCCCCGCGCGCACCTCCGGGAGCAGGATCCTCGCCGCGGCCCCCGCGGCCCCCGCCGGACGCGGCCGAGTACCGGGCGCAGCGCGAAGCGCTCCCGCCTCCCCGCCGGGGCCGGGCTCGCTCCCAGCGCGCGCACACGGGCGCGCGCGCGCGCGCACACTCACACACACACTCACACACGTGTGCGCCCCTCCGCTCCGGAGCTGCTGCTGCTCCTGCTTTCAGCGCCGTAGTGGAAGGCAGGGCCGCGCCGCTCCTTCTTTAAATATATAAATTGGAGCCGGCCGGCCTCGGCCGCCCCCCTGACAGCGCTGCCCGCGGCCCTCCCGTCGGCGCTCCCGCTGCCAGCCCCGGGACCTTTTCATCTCTTCCCTTTTGGCCGGAGGAGCCGAGTTCGGATCCGCCACTCCGCACCCGAAACTGACACACTGAACTCCGTTTCCTCCTCCTAAATTTATTTCTGCCTAATAGCCACTCGTCTCTTTTTTTGCCCCCATCTCGTCGCTCCAAGAAAACTTTTGCTGACTCCCCCAAGTGAAGCTTCCCCCTTGCCCGTCGTGTATTAATATTTCCACTTGGGGAACGACTTGCCTTTTCTTTTTAAAGGAATTCAAGCAAGATAGCTTTTTCTCTCGGACATTGACTCCCGATTGTTTTCAAAAGTTTCGCATTAAAAAAAAAATCTACCTGATCTGTACTTTGAGAGTTGTTGGTTTCTTTTTATTTTTCTTACTTTTTTACTTTTTAAAAAAATTTTTTTTCCACCTTAAAAAAAAAAATGCACTACTGTGTGCTGAGCGCTTTTCTTCTCCTGCATCTGGTCACGGTCGCGCTCAGCCTGTCTACCTGCAGCACGCTCGACATGGACCAGTTCATGCGCAAGAGGATCGAGGCGATCCGCGGACAGATCCTGAGCAAGCTGAAACTCACCAGCCCCCCAGAAGACTATCCCGAACCCGAAGAGGTCCCCCCGGAGGTGATTTCCATCTACAACAGCACAAGGGACTTGCTCCAGGAGAAGGCGAGCCGGAGGGCGGCCGCCTGCGAGCGCGAGCGGAGCGACGAGGAGTACTACGCCAAGGAGGTTTACAAAATAGACATGCCGCCCTTCTTCCCCTCGGAAAGTAAGTACCGCTCCCCGCTTCCACTCCCCGGGGCTTAGCGCTGCCCGAGGCTTCCAGAACCGCAGCCACTCCAGGGATCGCCCTGCCCTCTCCGGGTCCCAGCTCGCTCCTTCCCCTGCTCCTGTCCTCCGTCCCACCCACCTCCTTGCCAGTTGTGTGCTTGAGGACGTTAGGCTTTGAAACGTGGACTTGCGACTTTTAATTTTCTCCATTTCTCCCTTCCCCCAACGCCCCCGTCTTTTATAAGGCGTTTTTCTCTTCCCTGGAATTCTCGACTCGGCCACCGGCTAGGAGTCAGCCCTCCTCTGTCAAACTTGGAGGCGCTCCCTGGGGCCGCGTTAAACCGGGAAACCTTGGTGGGTTTGTTTTCTTTGCTCCGATTGGCCTGAAGCCCGCCGAACTGGTGCACGAGGGGTTAAAAAAAAAAGTGGCTCAAAACTAGCCTCTCCGGAAGGCGCCCCTTTCCGTGCCGACCTATCAGCTGATTCCCCAAGCCTTCCCTATTGTCTCTAAACTCCCCGAAAAATGTCAGCATCGCCAAGACAAAACCCGATCTGGAGACCCCTCCAAAAACCTACCTCCAACCCCTCAATTCTTGAATCTACTGCCTCGGCGAGGTGTTTACATTCCCCCCAAGGCGAGATCTTGTAACCACGTCCCCTTTTGATTTCACCTGGAATGGTAGAAAGGACAGCTTCGTTGCTGACTACGTTTAAAAGGGTTTTTCCTTCACGTTATTTTTTTCCGAATTCACTCAAACCTGCCTTGAAATCGCCGGTGTAGCAGATCCTTTTTCTTATGCGTTTAACGTTTATCTTTCTCACTCTTGAGCCCGGTGTTCCCTGCCCTTTCATAGGCTTCCTGCAGTCACTTCGTTGCATTCCTAAATCTCAGCGTAGAAGACAGCCGATTTTTTTTTTTTTTAAACTGGCTTCTCTGAGGGCAGTGTCCTCAAAACCAGCTGGCATACAGTAGCAACGCGAGTGAATGATTGATTGTTGAGTTCTTTGAGGGGAAGGGAAGAGGGCAGTTAGCTTAGAATGATTTCCAAGTTCTTTTAAAAAAGAAAAGAAGAAGAAGCATATATTGATGCCTGAGAGGGTTAAATACCAGGAAGAAGAAAAAGAAAAAAAAAAAAAAAGAGCTCCAACATTTGCCTATTCCAAATCCCAAGTCGTACACTTTTCATTGGTTGCCCATCTCTCTCCTCCCCTTTCCATGCCCTATATACTCCCTGGCAGCCTTCACAACGTCTCTGTGTCTTGCCTACAGAGATAATATGGCCATCTTGGTAATTTTATCCTAGAGGTTCTAATTGCAGGGTGGTGCTTTTCTTTTTGAATATTTATATTTAGTTTGACAAGTCGTAGTTCCGGGACTTGCCATGTCTTGTATTTGATGGTCTCAGATTGTCAGCTGAAGTATCCAACCCCAGGCTTCCTGGCGACCTCTGTTTTGCTGCAGCATCATCTCTTCTTGTTTAAGGGCAGAGCTGAGGCAGGAGATCCTGGCAAGCGGGATGATTTTATTATTGTAATTACGTCACCATCCACAACAATGGTGATAAATACACTCCACCCTGGTGATTCCCCCCCGGGGAGTGAAGGAAAGCTTTCTACCTGGGGTGGAGCCATGGAATTAATTAGGAAAGAAAGTTCATTGTAATTAGTCCAAAATCATTGAGACCCAACAGGGAGTTGAGTCAGTTTGCTTTCTCTAGCACGTGCAACCGTTCTACTGGAATTTGGGCAGGCGGGCAGTTACGTTACGTAGAACCAGAACAAGCCAAGCCTTCAATGTTTACCTGCAACAGCTCTCATGAATTGCTGGCATTTTCATAACAGAGAGGAGGTCTGATCCCTTCATGAGATAGGTGTGAAGAGAGCAAATTACCCAAGAGGGTGTTCATTCTTTGTTCTTCAAGCACTCTTCAGTCTAAAGAACTGAGGTGATCCCACGCAAGATTATCATCATCTCCAAATTGGAAAAAATTCTCAAATTATTAGGATTTCAGAGGTTGGCATCTCAGGTGCGTGTGTGGATTCCCTTCTGCTTCCTCTCCCAGCTACCAAAGAAATGAAAGCCTCTGATCAGTGCAGGATAAAATATAAACTATCAGTCTTCCTACAAAGAGTGCAGGCTTCTTAAAGCCTTAAAGGAAATTTAGGAGCAGAAAGCCTTATTAATAGCAGATTTGATACTACTGTGCTAGGACTGTGGATAATTTTATAGAAAGTAGGTTAACTGATTTTCCAGTACTTTCTAGTTATATAGTGAACCCTTCCAAAAAAAAGGAAGAAAAGAAAAAAAAAATCACTCCACCATATTTTTAAAGGGCAAACGGAAAGGACAGCATTGGCTTATATACCAGCTTTCCCTCTTTAGGACCTTTCCACCTAACTTTTAACTCGGTCCTCCCTGAAGAGACGGTGGGGAGGAAGTGTGCCTGTCATTTCTTGAAGGGAATCTGCAGCGGGTCATAAGCCCCAGAGATGAAGGCATGGGAAAGATCACTGGTTCACTTTTTACCACCAACTTATTAGCGTTCAGGGAGTGACTTCAGCTCAAATATTACAAATATGCTCTAATCATGCTCAATGAGCTATATATCATTACAGGTTGTTGGTAGCCCTTTGCAGGACGTTTTATACAGTTCAGACAAAATGTTTTTAGCAATGTAGAGTTTTAAAAGTAAAAATATAAGAGATATTGTATATGCCTTCAGGCATATTTTGTCTTAAATATTATCCTTGGCCCAGCGTACTATATAAATACAGTAAATATGAATAGAACTGGCCAGGTGCCAATCTCCTAGGATGAATTTTAGTCAAGAAGGTATTTATGGGATATAAATAATACTGTGTCAACATTTGAAGAAGGGATCTGATTAGTTTTGAATTTATTCGTATTGATCTTTTCACATGCTGTTAGTTTAAGGCTCAAAGTGGAGTTATGCTAAGGTTTACCCATACTTTACCCAGTGGGAATTAGTGGACTTCTGGTCCTTTTGACAATCCACTTGAACTTCAAGTACATCTATTCAAAAGACACTGTACAGGGCTTTAGAAATTTAGAAAGAGTTATTCCACATAACAGGGTAAGAATCCAAATGATTAACAATTAAAATATGTAGACCCTTCGACAGTCAAAAAAAAAAAAAAAGGAAGAGACAAAATTTTATTTTCTTTCTTTCGCCTCTCTTTTCCATGTAACAGATCAGGCACGTGTTGTGGTTCTAACTGTGGTGATTTTGTCCTTTCCCCCGCCCACACCCTCAGGGAACATTTGGCAATGTCTGGAGACATTTTGGGTTGTCATGATTGGGAGTGGAAGGGCCAGGGAGGTTGCTCACCATTCTAGAATGCACAGGAAAGGTCCCTTTTCCACCCGCCACCCCCATATATCAAAGGATTATCCAGCTCCACGTGGAGAAACCCGGTAACCCTGGGATTTATTTGCAGTTGCTGAATTCTGCTAGTAGTACCATTTCCAAAGTAATAATCTGAAAGTAAAACATCTTTATCATCAAAAGGACATTAACATGGAATAGAAAGATAATCAGAAACTTTTCTTAAGTAAATGGGACTATGAATTTGACTCTTTGGTATGGTGTATACCTCATTATTATGATCTTAAAGGGCCTAAATTAGAGGCATCAAAGGTTCCCATTCATTTAGCCTAAGTAAGGGTGTCGCTCCACCCATCTGTAACTTCAGTCAGCAGCAATGTGATATTAGTCAGGACAGAGCAAAAAAGAAGTGAGGGATTACCGTGGATTTTCCTTGCAAGGAAAATAAGCAGCTCATGTTAAGGAAGAGTGGAATCTCCAAGCTCAGCAACGGAAGAAAGTTGGTTTATTCTATCATATTGAATTAGATAAACTAAAATATACAGCCTGAGACATTACGGTGAGGTTTCCTTTGTAATTGTTTCACATAAATGCTAAGCATTTAATACCAAGCAATCTCTTTTTCTATTTCCCCTGTAATTTTCCAAGTGAAATTGAGGAAGATAGAAAGAACACCAATAGCACTATGGTTTGTGGGTGGGGGGGACGCAACTTAACATTCTATTCATGGATATATCTTTCTGTGTACACATTGCTGAACTGTCAGCCAATTGCCCGATGAAAGAAAATATTAGCAGTTGCTGGAACATAGTACTATTTTTGCTTGATGTTCAGGGATTTTTTTTCTGTTTCTTAAATTGAACTATAGTTGATTTACAATATTGTGTTAGTTTCAGGTATACAGCAAAGTGATAGGGATTTTATTTTTCAGATTCTCTGTGGATGTGTCAGAAAGAGGGACACGCAGAGAGAGAGAGACAGACTCGAACCCCTTCCCTAGACTTCCCCAATGATTGAGTTATTAATACACAGCAGACCCAACTTTAATTCCCCCACTTGTATTGCATCGTTGCTTGTACTAACTCTAGTGCCTAATTGTGGTCGCCTTTAACTTTAGGCTCCGTTCTCTTCCAGGATTTTCTCTCTTTTCTTTCTTTTACTTTTCAAAGTCTAGCAAAACTCCTCAAAGAGATATACTGGTTATAACTGAAGCAGTTGGGCCGTCTTTGTTGCCAAGGGAGGCCGGTCTCCTCTCCTGAGGAGTCCCCACTGGATGGAGGCTGGGCTTTGTGAAGCTGGAGGGGTAGATGGGGACCAGCTGACCTGGCAGAGGCTCCGGGAGCCTTCTGTGTCTCCACAGCGACCCCTGGGGTCTACTCAAGGAGCTGCACTTTTTGAACGATGCCTTCTCCCTGGTGAAGAGATGCTGATCTAACCCCAGTCACAGCATCTTTCATATAAAAAGGTATGAAAGAATGACAGATCCTGTTTCCTAGAGGAAACTGAGATGTGAGAAGAGGGCTAATGACTCACTGTTGATCCCATATCAAATCTGGGTTAGAACAAAGGAGGTCACTGACTCCTAGGCCTTTGCCCAGAGATTACAACACACTTCAAGCTGCATTTTTAGAAGTTTAGGGAAAATAGAGTG